TTCGCCCTTTTGCGGGTGTCGTTCCACACTGTATTCCGATGTTACGAAACGACTTGTGTGTTTGAAAGGTGAAGGTGCTGCCATGAATATCAAGGCAACGTGGCGTGTGGTGCGCTTTTTGTCAAAGTTGGTGCAAGTTTATCTGTAGATGGTTGGTTGTTTTCAAGAGCGCTTCGATTCATATTAGCTTGCAACACAGGGTGGTTTCTAAGCCCTTATTTATATTTGGACTCTTTTTGGCGCTTCTCCACATCAGTCTGAGTAAATCAGTATCCCCGTACATTTTTAGAGTTATTTATAGGGATTTCTATGACCATCCTGTCTCGTTGTGTGTAATGATGAGACCGGTGAAAAGACAAAACTCGTGCATCAGGTGTCACTCGAGCTGAGAACTCGACGTTGGGAACTCATTCATTTCCTTTTCGACATCGCCTTAATTACTGATGCCCTGCTGGAGTTTGAGGTCGGCCTTGACTCTTAATGTCGAGCTCTCACAAAGTGTTTTTGAGTAAGCGACCCAGTTTGTGTCCTTTTGTAGATTGATGGTGGGAAAATGCCACTGTGGAAGATGTCACGAGTGCAGGTGGTTGAGAAAACCTATGCTGCTTAAGCGACTTCTAACTTACTAGCATCAAAAATGCTGATCGAAGGGCTAGACGTGAGTAGCTTGATTGGCAGCACATTGCACTTTGATGCGCGCAATCCGCACAACTTTGGTCTGAAGGTGCTACCATTGCTGGACAGGTTGAAGGTGCTCATAACCAAGTGTCGAGTGTTAGATGAATGACTGAAGATGGATGTAGCCTATTTCCTTATGATGAGCAGTATGAAAAACTCAAGAATCTGGTTGAGGTCAGTATGTCGAACTTTTCAATCAATTGAATCGTCAATACCTCAACAGCTACTGTTTTCTGAATAATTAGGTCAGCCCTTGATCGAGACTTGGAGAAGTGTGAACAGGTGGCGCACCACCTTTGGATCAGTCACGCTTCAACGCATTTTGTTTATACTGTGGAGGTGATAGACACCTTTTTCGAGGGAGGGAGAGTCGGAGCGTATGAAGGCGCTGGACAATTGCATGATACTCTGGCCCCGTTCTCGTCGCGTGAACCGGGCAGGCACCTGTGGGTTCTCTTATTCCACTTAAATCTATGTAAGTAGCTATAATCGCTTATCTGTGCGCCCCTCGTCCTTCCTGCTTGGTAGAGCACAAGGTTGACAAATAGCACCTCCTGATGCGCCTTCAACAGGGTATATGTTTGGCAAGGTCGCCTACTTCTCTTACGTGGCGTGCAGATCGGCTGATTAC